TTCTCCCATGATTGCTCGCTCTAAGCAGTGTATCTACCTGATGTAAACGTTCACCCTATATGCCTGTCTATTGTTTGGTTGGAAGCCACAGGAGTGAGTTCAGTCCCAGACCCATAGGGTAACTAGGGGCCATAGTTTCCGGGGTCTCACCAGGGTCTATCAGACCAGAAAACCTTGCCTTTTTTTTTTTTTTTTAAATGATTTTGAGTTTTGTTCCACATTGTTCTCCCATTATTATCAGCATCTTTATAAATCTGATCTTCATTTGTCTTTGGGCGTTGGAATAACAATAACATCAGGAAATTACATGCTGCAAGGATGTATGTATTACAGATTAGTAACGATAAGATGTACAATACAAAAAGAAAAGAAACAGTTGTGTGATATAAGTTGAACATGTCATAAATTGGGGACTACCTGTGTACAAGGTGAACTACTGTGTACAAGGGGATTAAGACCTAACTGTGAAAGGTGAAATTATAAATCCAGGCAGAAGAAAATGTAGTACATTTTGGTGACCTTGGGAGGGGAAAGATTCTTAAAAAAGACTCCACAAGGCTGAAATTGGATGCTTTTGGCTACCTCAAAATTAAGGATTATAGGAGACCAAGGAGGGGTCGCTATGAGTCGGGGCCGACTCGACGGCAAACAAAAACAACAACAACAACAAAAGACCCAACTAATAGGATGCATGAAAAATTGGGAGATGTCTGCAACACCGAACACTGACAGTGGATCCGTATTTAGAATATATAAGACATCCCTTCAATCATTCAGAAAAACAATTGGAAATCCAGTAGGAAAATAGGCCAAGAATATAAATAGGTAATTCAAAGAAGAAAAAATCAGATTGGTTGTTAAATGTGTGGAAAAATGGGTAACATCACCAATCATCAAAGAAATACAAATGAAAAATCAAAATGTAATTCTACTTTATGGCTATCAGGCTGATAGATACGAAGACCAAATGTTAGCATATAAGCTGAGAAACAGGATTTCCCTACCCTCACATGCCACTGATTGGGGTGCAAACGGATAAAACCGTTTTAGAGCAAGAAGGCAGAGTAGAGCCCTGCATGTGAACACTCCCGACCCAGCAATCCCATCTCTTTCTCATTATCTGTGGTAAGAAGGAACTGCTGTCAAGTGAATTGTCTGTCTTTTGAGGACAAATGAACTAACGTAACGCATGGCGACCCTACATGTGCAGAGTAGAACTGCTCCATAGGGTTTTCAAGGCTGTGGCCTTTCCGAAGCAGATCCCAGGCTTTACTTTCCATGCACCTCTGGATGGGTTTGAACCTCCAACCTTTCTGTTAATAGTCCAGCCCTCAACTGTTTGCATAGTCGGAACCAACTGGATGATAAAAGTAACAACAATAGCAAAGCAAAATAAAAGTAAGTGAAATTTATTAGACACACAAATCTGACACAGAATTAATGAACTCCGGGTGTACATAGCCACATGGACATACCCCTAACACAGTATGTGTTTGGCAAAACGAGAAACAGAATGAGTTCTTTAGCACAATACCCTTCATGTATGTTAAACTCACTGCCATCGAGTGGTATCTGACTCATAGTGACCCTGTATCTGACTCATAGTGACCCTTCCTTGAGTTTCCAAGGCGGTATCACTACGAAAGTAGATTGCTCAATCTTTCTTCTGAAGAATGGGTTTGAACCGCCAGCCTCTGGTTAGCAGTCAAACGCTTTAGGCAGTACGCCACCAGGGCTCCTAAAAACGTTAGTATCTTCGGAGGATCTATACATGAGCTGGGAGATGTATTAAACACATACGGATGGGACAGAGGAATGGGACTGTGGGGAGAGAATGACACCTGACAGAATGATCAACACAACTCTTGCGGCGGAGGTCCAGAAACCAGTCCTAACACCCCTTCTAGGCCTCCTGTTCACAGAGCCCATTCTCCACAGAACCAAGTGTGGGCGACTGAACGCAGTGCCAAGAGCAGCGCCTTTCTTCATAAAGAACTTCCCTCTTCCACCCACCTGCCAAGACCCGCTGCCCCCACCAGCCAAACTGCCTGCATTTCCCACAACCCGAGGACGCCCAGGCTGTAATCCGCAGTGCCTTGGCCATGCAGGTCCCTCTTCCCCAATGGCCTCTTTTATTTTTCTTGGCAAAAGATTATTGATTTTTCGGATTCAGTCTGTGTCTCTTCCCAGGAGGCCTTTGCTGAACGTGGTCCTCCCTAAAGGGAGCCCCCGCCAGAACTGCAGTGCCATACACCCCTCCCCCACCACGCCTTCAAGCCCACATTATAATTGCGTATTTGCCCCTCCCTTAGGGCAAAGAAATGCGCTTGGGTGGTCTCTAAGTCGAAGCCCGCTAGCAGTGGTGGGCGTTCGCACGGATAACTGGAAGGTTAGGAAAACTGTTTAAGGAGACTCTAGCCCACCTCCCTCTCCACTGCTTCTCCTCTGATAGGTCCCCTCAAACTCCCGGTCCCCGTGCCCGCCCCCAGCACACCCCCGCTGGTCGTGGGACTTGAAGGCCTCTGCGCATGCGCTGCGGGGTGAAGCGCGCTCGGTCGGGGGCGGGGCGAGGAGGAGGTGGGCGGAGAGAGGCGGGCACAGAGGGGCGGGGGTGGCCGCCGAGACGTTGCGCGGCAGTTGCGCCCGGCCCGCTTGCGTGCGGCACCCGGGAGGGGGCGGGGCCGAGGCGGGCGCTGTAGCAGCGCCCCCGCCCCTGACCCCGCCCCCTCAGCCGGCCCGCGCGCCTTGCCCCGCCCCCTCCGTGGCCCGCCCCGCCCCCTCAGCCGTCCCGGTTTCTTCTCCAGCAAGCGGCTTGCCTCACGCTCGGTTCCAGTGGCAGAGAGCGGGAGAAAGTGCTGCTGGTGGGCGGCCGCGGAGCTGCGCGCGTCCGGCATCCCGGGGCCGCTCTGGCCCGGGCGGCGAGGGGGCCCGGCGGTCCATGCATCCGCCGCTGCCTGCCGCCGCCGCCGTGATGGATTTCGGTCAGAACAGCCTGTTCGGCTACATGGAGGACCTGCAGGAGCTCACCATCATCGAGAGGCCGGTCCGCCGGAGCCTCAAGGTGCGACCCGGGGAGAGACTGCCCGCAGGGCGCCGGGCCGGCTTCCCGGCAGCCGGCTCTGACCCCGCCCCGGCACTCACAGCCCACCGGCACCATCCCGTCCCGAGGCAGCCCGGGACCCTTTCACCGTTCTCCTCATGCTCCCGGTCGCTGTGTCCCGGGGTCCCTCGACATGGCCCTGACTTTCTCGGTCGCCCCCTTCTGGATGGGGGGCCCTTGAGTCGGGGCCAGCCCCGCGGTCCCTGGCGCTCCCGCGCCGTCCTCGGTGTCCTGAGGGGCCAGCCTTCGTCCCCCGCCCGTCCCGCCTCCCGGTCGGGCCGAGGCTCTGTCCTGGGGGCCAGCCCCCGCAGCCGGCCGGGTCGCCCCGCTCGGACTGCAGCTTTGGCCCCTCGGTCGCGGCCATTTCCTCTCGCTTATCCCGGGCCCATGATCTCCAGGGTACCCTCTCCCCACCGTGGCCCCCCAGTGCCGTCTGGTTCTGGCCCTAGGCCCAGGCACAGTCAGCACAGCCCCGACGACCCCCCGTGAGACGCCCGATCCCACCCTCCTCCCCCACCGGAAACAGCTCGAGTCTCGCTTGCCCCCAAGTCTGCCCGGGCCTCCAATCACCTCCTAGAGCTGTCCTGGTCCGGTCTTCAAAGCCTTCTCCCAAGCGGACCCTTTGCCCCCAGCCCGTCGGTCCGTTTCCTCCCAGTCCCTCTAGGACGCGGCCTCCGGCTGCACCTGGGACCCTGCTCTCCAGTCCCGTCGATGGAGTCACCCTTCAGCTTGCTCCCCACCCCCCTAGCTCCCCACCCGCAGAGTCATCTTCCTCCAGCCTAGAGGCTGGAGACTTCGCTGCGGGCACACCTAGGTTACAGACCCCAGAGCTCCCACGGTCCTCTTCGTAGCTCCTTTAGCTCTTCTCACGTCCACCTGCCTCACTGTCTGGACTCTGATTTCCTTCCAGCCCCAGAGTTTATTCCTTTCCCTGCCCCCACTCCAGATTTCGTCCTTTTGGTTCCCACTCCATTGCAGTCTTCATCCATCCCCCTTTAGCATTTCCGGGGCTGGAAAATTTTGGAGAAACAAACAGCCTTGGCTTATTGGAAATAAGAAGTGTGTATTTACTTTACATATGCCCATAACACCGGATTTCTGCAAGGTTCTGAAGCCACAATGTTTTCTCAAGCATCAATCTAGAAGCTAGAAGAATAGTTTTTTTTTTTTTTTTTAAAGCCAGAACAAACTCAACCACCCAAACCCTACAATTAGAGACTAGATTCTCTCTGTTCAGGCCTCCCAGAATCCTCAGACCCTCGATTAGTTGTCACTGATAATGCTAAATCGTGAGACTTTAGAGGGTCACTGGTGGGCAAGACCAACCTGAATGCTTGTGGGCATAATTTCTATTCTGTACTTGACAGACACCAGAAGAAATAGAAAGACTGACAGTCGATGAAGACCTCAGTGACATTGAAAGGGCCGTTTATCTGCTCAGGTATTTCCTGAAGTCTTTCTGTGAAATCGCTGCTCCCTCTGGCCACATTGCCAAACGCTTTCTGAGATGTCATGTTACACTTGTGTTCACTTTAACTTAACCATTTGGCAGACTACTTTTGCATGCAGAGAACTTAGATATATTATAAGTAAGATTTAGGAATGGACTTAGGAATTTGAGGCCTAATTTTTCAAATACTGCTTGGAGGAGGGGGAGCAGAACATTTAAAAATAACTAATGGCAAACAGGAGCTCTGGTAGCATAGTGCCTAAGGCACTTGACTGCTAACCAGAAGGCTGGCGGTTCAAACCCACCAGCTCCTCGGAAGGAAGATGAGGCAATCTACTTCCGTAGTGATACTGCCCGGAAAGCCAAGGAGGGGTCGCTATGAGTTGGGTGCGATTAACAACAACACAACAACAATGGAAAACAAACAAACAAACAAAAACTCCCAAAACCTAATGGCATGAGTTAAACTTAATCCCTTTTTTGGCTTTAGTGGTTCTCTCACATCAGATTCAGTAGGTTTAGATGAGACAAGAGTATCCAGTGATCCAGCTGGTTGAAGAATAGGAACTTTGTATGCCATTTACTGTATACAACAGATACCCCAGAACATGGTAGTGTTGGATTTTGCTGCCCAGGGTATCCTGTTCACGTTACTTTTGCTGTATGAGTTTTATAACTGAGCCTGAGAAACATTTTAAATTGAGCCTACTCTCATTTAAGTTTCGAACTATCTCATGAGTTTTACAGAATTTCCCCAAGCAAATGATGACTGCAAATATATTTACGAGATTTCCCTGAACTAGTTTTAAAATTGTGTTATGGATTTAGCTTCTTAGAAGCTAATGTGAACATGAACATATCCATGAAAATACTTAGGAAACAAATTTTCCTAAGGCATTTTGTGTATACTTGCTTTAATAATTCTTTTAAACTTGTACAACACTTTCCCCCCTTTTGATGAATTAGTCTTCACTTTTGTTTTTGTTTTGCAGAATCCAATTTTGGAAACTTTAGTTGTTATTTACATCCCAAGATCCAAGTTTCCTTAGCTTGGGTCTAGTTTGCCAGTTTTAGGTGTTGGTAAGTTTCTTGTTCTCCTTTCTTGTTTATAGATCATGTTTCTAGCCCCGTCTTGTTTCATTGGATGATTCTATTAAAAAAGAAATCCCTCTCTATGACGTCCATTTTCTTAGTCTTTAGCCTATTACTGGCATCTTGAGTTTCTGTTCTTACTTGAGTCTGAATGTGAGCATACTTATTTAGGCCGTTGCCTCAAATAATTGTATTCTTTCAAAGCATTTCTGGATCTTAGATCTTTTGTTGATGTTATTTTTCCCCTTTGGTGGTTTATGGTAACATGCTCTCGTCATTTCTATGTATTGATTTTGAAGAAAGCTCTGTAAATTAAAAGCAGTAGTTTTTGGTGTTTACTTAGAATAATCCAGCTTTTAACCTACTTTGGTATTGCAGTGTTTTATATTGGAAGTGCTTCATTTCTCAGTAATTAGCATGTTTAAATGGCAAACACAGTTGCCACTATTTGTCTCTTCCGCAGTTCTTTCACTCTGAGTAGGGAGGCAGTAAATTTGAGTTTGGGTAAATTTCTTTCAATGTAACAGCAGATAATGGATTGACATAACTTTCTATTGAATTCTTTAGCTTAAATGCTGGCTTACAGTTAGGAATTGGAGCCTCTTGCTCCACTTCTTGTGTTAGCAGACACCTTGTTCTAGGTATCAGTGACGGAGCTGCTCGCTCAGGATAGCTTATTTATTGGCTTTCTATTTTGCTTTTATTGTTTGTTAGTGAACCAGGTCGTCTAAGTCTTGTCTTTAGTTCTCAGACACAGAACCTAAGTTTCTCCCAGTTCTGGAACTTACAAAGCCCTTATAGAGACGGATGAGCCCTCTCTTTCTTAGAGGAGAGGTTTAAAAGAGATCGGGTGTCTCCTTGAGTTTCTTGTGGCTCACCTGCCCTGAAGGAGGTTTGCAAGGTGACTCGGAAGACGAACACCAGTCTGCTTGTGTGCGGGTTCTCCAGCTGAGTTTTTGCTTTTGTATTTGCACCGTCTCCCCACCTGTAGGGGAAGGTGGGACTTCACCCTTTGGCCTGTTAGGAGGGTCCTTTCCCCCTGTGATTCAGGAGGCAAGCTGTCCCACAGCCTGTTCCAAACTTTGCCTCAGTTGAAACCTCCTCATGTGCTCTCAGGATTGGGCCTTTTATTTGAATTTTTTTCTTTTTTTTTCCATTTGTATTCCCCAATGCTATAATATAGAACCTAATACCCTATGCTAGGTCTCTCTCTCTTTTTTTTTTTTTCTCTTTGTGATTTTCAGTCTTATTTTTGAGTGCTTAACCTTTTCCTCTGTGTTGGATATTTTATTTAATATTCAGTATTTTTTTCTTCTTTCTGCTTTTGTGTGTCAGCTTTGTTTAGCTTTCCTCAAATTTTATGTATTAAAATCAATTTTGGAATATTGAGTTAAAACTCATGGTCAGGCATGCTGGCATCAATAGGATGTGTTTTGTATTAGTGAAGGCTATGATAGCATTTAAATGAAATCCAATACCTAAAAAAGTTACATACAAAGGGTGCTGTCATTCGGTAAAAAACAAATTACACAGTTATCTTGCCCTAAAATGTGACAGGTCAGTGGCTAATGCTGTTTTCATTATTAGTGTAGCACAGACACACATGAATTTGTGATTTTCCATAACTGTGACGCTGCTGTCCCCATCTGTGGCATTTAGCACTGAAGCAAAACAACTTTCCTAATAGTCACAGCTTGTGGCTTAGTCAGAATCACATCATAACATCTTTTCCCTGTTCTCTCTCTTTGTGATTTTGGCATATATTATGGGAATGTGCTTAAAACATGTGAATAATTTAATCAGAGAAGAGTCCACAGTGTGTGGACTGTGTTTGCATCAAGGCAGTCTGTATTCATGTGTCTCTAATGCTGTTGGATAAATCCCAGGGCATTCGGACGCACTGTAAGTGGCTCCATCTAAGCTGTGCAGTGTGGTCTCCTGCCAGCCCTTCCCTGTGTTCACAGGCTTTGTTGGATTTACATAGTTCACCCATGTGAAGGGTCCAGCTTAGTGGTTTGTAGCATAGTCACAGAGTTGGGCAACTATCAGTACAATCCATTTTAGAACATTTTTGTCACCCCAGAAAGAATCCCCATACCCATTTCCTCCTAACACCTGCAGCCTCCATCCAGCCCCTGGGAACCATTTGTCTACCTGCTGTCTTTCTAGATTTGCCCATTTGGGACATTTCAAAGATAGGGAATCAGACCATATGTGGCCTTTTATGACAGGCTGCTTGCATACACCATAATGTTTTTAAGGTTCTTCCAGTTTGTAGCCTGTACCAATACTTCATTAATTTTTACGGCCTGAGTATTTCATATAATCCCTGAATATAATACCACATTCCGTTATCCATTCATTAGTTGATGGACATTTGGGTTGTTGCCACTTAGTCCGTCACTTTGAAGCTGGCTTCAAATCTTGCTGGCTTCCTCCCTGTTTCTCAGATATGGTGTGCTCATTCATCCTCAATTCTGCTTTCTGCATCCTGGAATGCCCTTCCGTTACACCTGTCCAACATTTAGCCAGACCGGCTGTAACTTTTCCTCTTTCTTGAGGCCTTCCCAGCTGCTGGAACCGCAGGAATCCCAGGCTTCCATGAGCTCCTGCGTCACTTAGGCATTGCTTTGCATTTCTTAACAATCATGCATGTGTGTATGTGCACGCACGTATGTGTACATTTTGTCCAAAAGGTAATACACTCTTGAAGGGCAAGCCATATTTTACGTTGTTTTTGTTTTTTGGTTCTTCCTTATTCTTTGATGTGATAACATAGAGCATTTAACAGAATGAAGCACATTTATTGATTTTGTTGTTAGGTCCCCTCAAGTCGGTTCTGACTCATACTGACCTG